TTTTTGAAGTTATTTTGCTTCATTAAATTCAATTTCTATTAATGTCCTTTTTTATTGTCGCTAAGTCACTCACCTACACCTGATGCTCTGTTTTCAAATTTTCTACTCTTTGAAACAGATTAAGTGATCACCTTAACACTTTGTTTGTATTCCCGTACACCCCACCCCTTCTGATAAAAAGATAATCTTTGTAGCACTATGTGTGAAATGGCACATTTTATTTCCTTACCATATTAAAAATAAGAGCTTCTTGCATACTCCCTGCTCAAATTACATGGATTTTCTTTAAGATTAGGGCACACATTGTAACAGCAGCATATAATTTTCCTGCACAATAATTTTTTTTCCAGTTGAAAGGTATCCTATAATATCAGCAGCAGCAACACCTGATTTTCAGCTAGACAAAGCTTATGCGTTTGGGGACTTTATTCCCTGTAAAATGCAGTTTTCAGACGTAGAGCAGCTACATGAAAATCCGAAAACAATCTCACAACTCATTCTTTGACCACAAAGTGCTAGACCAAAAGGAGATGTAACTGTGCCAATAACAAGATACATAATTTTTTAAACGAATATCCTATTTTTGTTACTCTAATTATATCCTTTGTTAATTTTATACACATTCAGAAACAGAACATAAGCACTGTCCTCCCTAAAAGCTGTATGGATACCCTGAAAAACTAAGTATAGATCATAAAACCTGCTTATCCATTTAAGAAATCTTCTTGGTGAAACTACTTTGTACATAACGGTGGATAAAAAGACTGTATTCCAAATATCTCAAAACCATCAGCATGTTCAAAAGACAGAAGATAAAAGACCGAACTCCTGCTAGTTAGACAACTTATTATGAAAATTTATTGTGGTTCTTTTCAGAGTATGGAAACTGCAAGTCTTCTGTGCTTCAGAAAGCACTTTGGCACGAACTTACACCAACCAATCAAGAAATCTTTGCATTGAGCTATGCTGATTACTAAATACAATTTATTTTTTTTTCTTTCAGAATTCCTGGCTGAAGCTCTGTGCTAGAGAAAACATCGGAGCATGAGCTGGCATACACAAAAGTTTGATTTAGTTTTAAAGATAAGCTATTTATAAAATTGCTACTGTCACACATCTTGTGCCCAAAAGTCTGTCATCTTCAGCTGCTACTGATTGCTACAATAATAAAGTATCAAGATGACCCAGATATCAGAGTCCCATAAACACACAAAAATTTAAATGACATATTTAAGTTTCATTAAGTTGCAAGGAAATTTTATAAAGACTTACTTTTACTTAAATACTTAGAAGGTGGGAAAGAAAAAAACCTGATTAAAAAACTATGACTACTTTTAGGTCAAGCCTGTGCTAGTTTCTGTATTAAGTTAATACTATTCTTAAAGATGGAATTGACATTATCTGTAGTAAAATAATTCACTTAAACATACGTTGTGACCTGACTAGCTGAAAGTACAGCAAAGCAAAATATTACAAACCAATAAGTGTATTCACTCTAGTAGGGTACATACACACAGTTTTATTTATTATGAGTTATTAATGTTTTCCATCATCAATTTGTTAGAATTGACAAAAAAATTATATTTTAAAAATTAATTGGTTTTAAGCTAATTTGCCCTTATGAAATCATTCTTACAAATCTACAATTCAACCATTTTTAATTGCATACTACTTTTTATTATTAAGCTCATTCTTGAGATTAGGTACAAATATAGTTATCTTTTGGATGACATATGGCAAGATCTCCAACTCTTTTTAGCTTTGGAAATTTACATCTGCCTGTTCGTTCAAGATGCTAAGCATACATGTGTTGACAAATAGAAAATAACAGATGGCAAAAAGCAAATGCTCAACATGAAGCACTGGGGATCATTTGAAGAAGGCTTGGACTCAGACATTTGCCATTTTTATTTTAACCGCAGAATTATTTTTAAAAACAGATTCCACCATCTATTATGCTTGATGCTAAAGAACATCCGTGATAAGAACATTCATGATCACAGCATATTATAGTAATTGCAATTGGTATCCAAGACACAAGTTGCTTTATAAACTTTAGGATTTTAAGGTAATTAGCACAGTATTGCTCTTCTGGAGGTTAACTTCTGCTGCTACACGTAAGCCAGAAAACTTTCTGTACTGGCCATATAATTTGTCTTGAAACATTTAATAGGCAATACATGGATATGCTCATCTGCTATTCCAGCTTCTGAACTGGAGTTAGTCAGGTAATTGACTACTACCACAGTACACAAAAACACCTGCAGATAGACCTGCTCTTTGCCCACACCAGTACTACTGCTACTTCTGCCACCACCATCTCCAGCAACAGCTTTAGAAAACCAAACTGAACACTTTGTCAGTGAGAGGTGTGAAGCTACCAGGGGCTCCAAGTGCAAACATTATTTGGGGAGCAAGGGAGTTACTTCCTATGAATAGGGCACAAGAGGTAAGAGAAGAGGTTCAGCCAGTGCTACGCTTTTTACTAACAACGAGGAATGATATCAGGACAGGACATGCAACAACAACAACTTCCTTATGTATTCCACCAATATTCAGAAGTCTGTAGCTCATGGATTTCTGAACCAGAGAGAATATTTTTTGTATTAACATGCCATGATAACCTTTTCTTTCATGAATTCCTAACAACTTTTTCAACCATGGAACCCCTTGGACTCAACATCTGTGGAAATCACTTTCACACTGTAACTATGTACTATACGAACACCTTTTAGCAAAGGTATGTAGCATAGTCTCCAGCCACTGAATTTTTAAGGTGCATAAAAATAGTTATTGTTTTATTACCACCATGCTTTTACAGATTTCAGACTGACTGTACTAGTTAGTGTATCAGTCTGTAACAGCTCAGCTAAAAGAAAAAGATTAATAGAGACAGGACATATGGTAACAACAACAGACAAGCAGCAGATCTGTCTTGGAGAAAACACCTACAAGTAAACATCAGTGTGGCTTTATAAGTCAGACAGATTTGTCACAGATAGCAAAAAATCCTGAGCCAAACAGCAAAAGAAAAAACCAAACTCACTATCTTCATTTTCTCTCACTGACTTTTCAAATAAAGAGCACTAACTAATTAGTTTGTAAATATACAGGTTCTAACAAAAAGTTTGTATATTAAAATAATATTTTCATCTTCTAAAACTACGGTTATAGATGTAAAAAGATAGTCATAAACTCCAACAGTTCTCACTTCATACACTTCAAAATAATCACATTAAAGTACAGCACTACATCACAAAAGGTCAGTCTCATTTAAAAAAAAGATCATACAGGGAAGACACTACATATTTTCATTTTTGTGGCAAACAGCCATGAACAATACTTTACATATGATTTTAATTCCATTATTATACATAGATTCATAGCAAAAGAAATATGTTAATTCTGTCACAGTATTCAGTTTAAGTAGCCCTCTATTTGAGCAGAAGAGATATTTTGCACTGCGGTCCCCATACTGTTTTCATTAAGGACAAATACATCATTGTTAATATTTTTTTCACATTTTACTAGTAACTCAGTAAAAAAAACAAACATTAGGAGGTCCAAGAAAATAACTATTTCTATTAAAGGCTGAACTAAGAAGCTTGGTTTCCAAAGCGCTCTTCGACACCGATTCTTCTAATGTTTAGTAGTGAGGACCAAAGGATTTATGTCCTATATCTCCATGCAAAGGTCTTGTAAAGTGTTGAAACTTACGACTCTTAAGTACACAGATCAGTTTCAAACAAAGAAGTCAGCAGGAAGCACTGAGGAGCAGATGTACAGGAGGACTGCTTAAATTCAACTGAAGAGTATCAAAATGTGTAAATTCGGAACATACTGGTGAAATGACCTTTAAAACAGTTTTCACAAAGGCTAGAAATAAAATAAAAAAAACCCAACAAACACAACAAGACCCAAGCAAACAACCTCCTCCTGCAAACCATCCCAGGAATTTATTTCAACTCTAACAAAACTCAGTCTCCAGTGACCAGCATTCTTTAACTCAGAAACCCAACTTCTTATCACATTCATTCTGCCACCTCAAACCAAACACGATCAGCCATGTATGCACTCTCTAATGCCCTGCCAATACTGACAGTCTAGCTAGCAGCTACCTAAAGGAAAAAAAAACTGAGTTCTGCTCACTTTCTCTTCTATCAGGTTGCCAGTTTTCAAGAAACTTAGGAATTTAGTGACCTTGAGAACTCTATTTGTCTATTAAGTTCGGCTGGAAACGGTCAACAGTCACCAGCATAAAAAAAAATACACCCCGTTTTCCTCAGAAAGCCAGGCCAAACCATCTTTTGAGCAAACAGTCTGAATACAGGGGAAGGAGTAAAACAGAAGAACCAAGAATCACACAAAGTAATCTGGTAAAGCTCTGAGATCCTTACACACGTATACCAGGAGTACAGGAAAAAATAAGAGAATTCACAGAACATCAAGTCTAAACACATGACCAAAAACATGACTTCACAAAAATGCACCAGAAATTTTAAAATAAAATTAATAGTAACGTTTTCCTCCTACACATTTTCTTTTCCATTACTTCAGACCATCAGGAAGATATATTGCATCTGGTCTTTAATATATTCAAGGGCTGCATTCAGCACACTGTAACTGCACGCATGATAGTGAATACTACAGGTATGAATGAGCAAATTTCACAATTATGTGCTACAAACAATGACCTTTTTTGACTGGTGCACCTAATTATCCAGCACCTGATGAGCAGTATTTGGTTCTGTTTATTCAGGAATGTTTAGCAAAGCTGGGAGACACATCAGTGTTTTGGAAGCAGAACACCACAACCCCTTTTTGCAAAATATGGTGATAACTCATACACTGAAGATGTTTATTTCACACTTAAACCAGTCTCAGTGAATTTATATTATGACCATACTCCAATTACTCATATTTATACCAAAAAAAAGTAAGAACAAACCCTGCAAATTATTATCTTAATTGATTTATAAAAAGAACAAAAAGATACTTACTAATAAAGCAAGTTTTTGGTACTTCTGTTTTAGTTCTGCCGGACTGTCCGATGGATTTGCACCCAGGATTTTGTACCAGTCCTTTTGTGTTATCCTTTCAAAGGCCATAGTCTGACTGTTTTTGAAATTTCTTAGCACTATGTAAGAAAATGAAATAAATGTAATTACAATTTGAAAGACAAACAGTTAAAAAAAGGTAAAAATGAGGAAATGCAATAAACTATGGGACTGTGAAATAGCCTGCAGCCCTCAAGCACAGGTACACCTCTACATAAGATCTACAGTGCAAAAAACCAGCTTAATTCACATGGCCATTCCCTCCCATAGATTATCATACATGAAGTGATTTAAGTTACACTATGTTTCCTGTCCCTGTTCCTTAGTATATCACACTTCAGAAGCTGCCCATACCCATTTAAAATCATTTTGCATTTTAACTCTCTGACCCATTTTGAACCTACACGTTATATATGCACTTTTTATATATACCCTTTTTAAAAGATACACTTTTTATTGCAAAATGATATTGTACTTAACATACAAAAAAAAAGTAGTACATAAAAATGTAATGTTTTGTCAATTCTGAAATGAGATACATGCAAGAAGACAAGAAGGTACGACTCGGGTTTTGCACAATTATATGACCCTCCTTCATCCTTCTGGGTAAAAAGGTGTAGCTTTTTTAATATTAGAGTAGAAGAACATATAAAAGGAAACAAAAAAAACCCCAAATAAAAGCATATAAAGTTAGCACAGGACCCTAAGTAAAAGCTAACTACTTGGGTACCTTTTATTTTTGGCCACCTCTCATCAAGCTCATAACACAGAACAAAAAAAAAATAAACAGAATTAAACGCCAAGAAAAGCACAGTAATGCTTGAGCTTCAAGCAGATGCTTAGGTAATCTGAAATCCCAAGCTTGTAGTAGCTGACTTATCAAGAACCTTCTGGTAACAGGTTTCTCAGTAGGGAAAAGTTTCGTAAGTTTCATAAGTTTCCAAGTTTCAGGAGTCTTTTTTTATTGTTGCAAGAAAGAAAAATGGATTATTTTTTTTTTTTAAATTTCAGCACTGAACCCCGTTTCTGGCAACAACCTTCACGCTTCAGGATAAATCCTTTTTTTCAAGAAACAGTATGTTTTTCAAACCTGGCAAAACAACACCCACCGGGAGGGCAGACCCGACTGCCGGACGGGCCTCCCCTCTTCTTTTAGGGCAGCACCTCGCACCCAGGCCTGCCCGCTCCACGCCTTGCCCCACGAAGGCCCCTTTCTCCTACCCAACCACAGTATTTTTTACCAAAACTGGCGAAAACGCAAGGGCCGCCTGAGCCCGCGCTTCCCCCTCACCGCCCGGGACGAAGCGCCGCTGCGGACCCATCTCCCCACAACACCGGCGGACACGGTAGTAGGCCGAGGAGGCCGTTCGGAGGCTTCCCCCCGCCGCCACAGCCGCCGCCTCAGCACGGGGGCTGCGGCCCAAGGACCTTCCCCCCCCGCGGTCGTTAGCGCCATGCCACCAGCCCCCTCCAGCAGCGAGACCCCCGCGTCCAGCACCCACCTGCCCCGCACCGCCGGCCCGCTGATGAAGGCGGCCGGTGCCCCGGATAAGTCGTCCGGTGGGAAACAGCCCCTTCCGCGCGGCGTGGCGGGTGGGGGCGAGCAGCGGCATGTGTGGCTGAAGGGCCCGCCCTGCCTGTTTCCGCCCGGGCAGTAGCGGCGTCGGCACCGACAGGAAGCACAGCAGCGGCCGAGGCCCGACGCCGTCTCCATGGCGACCGGAGCTCTGGAACCGCCGCCGGGTTCTGTAAGTAACGGCCCCGGCCGCCCTCCAGCGCTCGTTCCCGGCCCGGAGAGAGTGGGAACGTCTTTCCACCCCCACGGTAACAACAACAGACAAGCAGCAGATCTGTCTTGGAGAAAACACCTACAAGTAAACATCAGTGTGGCTTTATAAGTCAGACAGATTTGTCACAGATAGCAAAAAATCCTGAGCCAAACAGCAAAAGAAAAAACCAAACTCACTATCTTCATTTTCTCTCACTGACTTTTCAAATAAAGAGCACTAACTAATTAGTTTGTAAATATACAGGTTCTAACAAAAAGTTTGTATATTAAAATAATATTTTCATCTTCTAAAACTACGGTTATAGATGTAAAAAGATAGTCATAAACTCCAACAGTTCTCACTTCATACACTTCAAAATAATCACATTAAAGTACAGCACTACATCACAAAAGGTCAGTCTCATTTAAAAAAAAGATCATACAGGGAAGACACTACATATTTTCATTTTTGTGGCAAACAGCCATGAACAATACTTTACATATGATTTTAATTCCATTATTATACATAGATTCATAGCAAAAGAAATATGTTAATTCTGTCACAGTATTCAGTTTAAGTAGCCCTCTATTTGAGCAGAAGAGATATTTTGCACTGCGGTCCCCATACTGTTTTCATTAAGGACAAATACATCATTGTTAATATTTTTTTCACATTTTACTAGTAACTCAGTAAAAAAAACAAACATTAGGAGGTCCAAGAAAATAACTATTTCTATTAAAGGCTGAACTAAGAAGCTTGGTTTCCAAAGCGCTCTTCGACACCGATTCTTCTAATGTTTAGTAGTGAGGACCAAAGGATTTATGTCCTATATCTCCATGCAAAGGTCTTGTAAAGTGTTGAAACTTACGACTCTTAAGTACACAGATCAGTTTCAAACAAAGAAGTCAGCAGGAAGCACTGAGGAGCAGATGTACAGGAGGACTGCTTAAATTCAACTGAAGAGTATCAAAATGTGTAAATTCGGAACATACTGGTGAAATGACCTTTAAAACAGTTTTCACAAAGGCTAGAAATAAAATAAAAAAAACCCAACAAACACAACAAGACCCAAGCAAACAACCTCCTCCTGCAAACCATCCCAGGAATTTATTTCAACTCTAACAAAACTCAGTCTCCAGTGACCAGCATTCTTTAACTCAGTTAGAAACCCAACTTCTTATCACATTCATTCTGCCACCTCAAACCAAACACGATCAGCCATGTATGCACTCTCTAATGCCCTGCCAATACTGACAGTCTAGCTAGCAGCTACCTAAAGGAAAAAAAAACTGAGTTCTGCTCACTTTCTCTTCTATCAGGTTGCCAGTTTTCAAGAAACTTAGGAATTTAGTGACCTTGAGAACTCTATTTGTCTATTAAGTTCGGCTGGAAACGGTCAACAGTCACCAGCATAAAAAAAAATACACCCCGTTTTCCTCAGAAAGCCAGGCCAAACCATCTTTTGAGCAAACAGTCTGAATACAGGGGAAGGAGTAAAACAGAAGAACCAAGAATCACACAAAGTAATCTGGTAAAGCTCTGAGATCCTTACACACGTATACCAGGAGTACAGGAAAAAATAAGAGAATTCACAGAACATCAAGTCTAAACACATGACCAAAAACATGACTTCACAAAAATGCACCAGAAATTTTAAAATAAAATTAATAGTAACGTTTTCCTCCTACACATTTTCTTTTCCATTACTTCAGACCATCAGGAAGATATATTGCATCTGGTCTTTAATATATTCAAGGGCTGCATTCAGCACACTGTAACTGCACGCATGATAGTGAATACTACAGGTATGAATGAGCAAATTTCACAATTATGTGCTACAAACAATGACCTTTTTTGACTGGTGCACCTAATTATCCAGCACCTGATGAGCAGTATTTGGTTCTGTTTATTCAGGAATGTTTAGCAAAGCTGGGAGACACATCAGTGTTTTGGAAGCAGAACACCACAACCCCTTTTTGCAAAATATGGTGATAACTCATACACTGAAGATGTTTATTTCACACTTAAACCAGTCTCAGTGAATTTATATTATGACCATACTCCAATTACTCATATTTATACCAAAAAAAAGTAAGAACAAACCCTGCAAATTATTATCTTAATTGATTTATAAAAAGAACAAAAAGATACTTACTAATAAAGCAAGTTTTTGGTACTTCTGTTTTAGTTCTGCCGGACTGTCCGATGGATTTGCACCCAGGATTTTGTACCAGTCCTTTTGTGTTATCCTTTCAAAGGCCATAGTCTGACTGTTTTTGAAATTTCTTAGCACTATGTAAGAAAATGAAATAAATGTAATTACAATTTGAAAGACAAACAGTTAAAAAAAGGTAAAAATGAGGAAATGCAATAAACTATGGGACTGTGAAACAGCCTGCAGCCCTCAAGCACAGGTACACCTCTACATAAGATCTACAGTGCAAAAAACCAGCTTAATTCACATGGCCATTCCCTCCCATAGATTATCATACATGAAGTGATTTAAGTTACACTATGTTTCCTGTCCCTGTTCCTTAGTATATCACACTTCAGAAGCTGCCCATACCCATTTAAAATCATTTTGCATTTTAACTCTCTGACCCATTTTGAACCTACACGTTATATATGCACTTTTTATATATACCCTTTTTAAAAGATACACTTTTTATTGCAAAATGATATTGTACTTAACATACAAAAAAAAAGTAGTACATAAAAATGTAATGTTTTGTCAATTCTGAAATGAGATACATGCAAGAAGACAAGAAGGTACGACTCGGGTTTTGCACAATTATATGACCCTCCTTCATCCTTCTGGGTAAAAAGGTGTAGCTTTTTTAATATTAGAGTAGAAGAACATATAAAAGGAAACAAAAAAAACCCCAAATAAAAGCATATAAAGTTAGCACAGGACCCTAAGTAAAAGCTAACTACTTGGGTACCTTTTATTTTTGGCCACCTCTCATCAAGCTCATAACACAGAACAAAAAAAAAATAAACAGAATTAAACGCCAAGAAAAGCACAGTAATGCTTGAGCTTCAAGCAGATGCTTAGGTAATCTGAAATCCCAAGCTTGTAGTAGCTGACTTATCAAGAACCTTCTGGTAACAGGTTTCTCAGTAGGGAAAAGTTTCGTAAGTTTCATAAGTTTCCAAGTTTCAGGAGTCTTTTTTTATTGTTGCAAGAAAGAAAAATGGATTATTTTTTTTTTTTAAATTTCAGCACTGAACCCCGTTTCTGGCAACAACCTTCACGCTTCAGGATAAATCCTTTTTTTCAAGAAACAGTATGTTTTTCAAACCTGGCAAAACAACACCCACCGGGAGGGCAGACCCGACTGCCGGACGGGCCTCCCCTCTTCTTTTAGGGCAGCACCTCGCACCCAGGCCTGCCCGCTCCACGCCTTGCCCCACGAAGGCCCCTTTCTCCTACCCAACCACAGTATTTTTTACCAAAACTGGCGAAAACGCAAGGGCCGCCTGAGCCCGCGCTTCCCCCTCACCGCCCGGGACGAAGCGCCGCTGCGGACCCATCTCCCCACAACACCGGCGGACACGGTAGTAGGCCGAGGAGGCCGTTCGGAGGCTTCCCCCCGCCGCCACAGCCGCCGCCTCAGCACGGGGGCTGCGGCCCAAGGACCTTTCCCCCCCGCGGTCGTTAGCGCCATGCCACCAGCCCCCTCCAGCAGCGAGACCCCCACATCCAGCACCCACCTGCCCCGCACCGCCGGCCCGCTGATGAAGGCGGCCGGTGCCCCGGATAAGTCGTCCGGTGGGAAACAGCCCCTTCCGCGCGGCGTGGCGGGTGGGGGCGAGCAGCGGCATGTGTGGCTGAAGGGCCCGCCCTGCCTGTTTCCGCCCGGGCAGTAGCGGCGTCGGCACCGACAGGAAGCACAGCAGCGGCCGAGGCCCGACGCCGTCTCCATGGCGACCGGAGCTCTGGAACCGCCGCCGGGTTCTGTAAGTAACGGCCCCGGCCGCCCTCCAGCGCTCGTTCCCGGCCCGGAGAGAGCGGGAACGTCTTTCCACCCCCACTATTCCCTCAGGGATTCCGTCTCCAGCTGCTAGAAGACACCGGGGTCCGCCTTGCCCTCCCTCCCTCCCTTGCTCGCTCGCTGCACGGGACCCCGGGACACCCCCTGTCCCCTCAGGGGCTCCACCTCCGGTTGCGGGGAGACCCGGGGAGCAGCGGGTCCATTTCAACATCCCTCCTTCCACACAAGCCCTCTCCTGCCCAGGAGGCAAAGATTAGCTCCGGCACCGGGGACCGGGGGGCCCGTCCCCCGCGCCCTCAGTGCTCGGCAGGCCCGGCGGCGCCCCGGGGATCGGCTCCGGGTACGGTCGGCGCAGGCCGTCGGGTTCCCCCTATTCGGGGAGCGTGTGTCTGGGGAGAAAACCACGGGCATAATGGGGTCCTTCTCGTCCCCCTGTCCTGCTCGTCTCCCTCACAAGTTGTCCCTACCCTTTGAGCGGAATAAGGCGATGGCTCTTTCTAGAAAGTATTTGTCCTAAAGGGGAAGGACAAACATCCTCTTAAGGAAAAAATAAACCCAGGAAGCAGACTTTTAATGATGTAAAGGTGTTTCCTCCTATAAATAAAAGCTTTGATTGGCGCTGTAAACTTCAGCTTTTGTAATCTCAGTCAGACCTGTTAAGATTCAGCTGGACAAGGTGCTGGGCCATCTTGTCTAGACTGTGCTTTTGACGAGAAAGGTTGGACCAGGAGATCCTTGAGGTCCCTTCCAAACTGGTGTTCTGTGAATCTGTGAGCCTATGATGCTACGTGATTGTGCCCCTGTACTCAGCACTGGTGAGGCCACACCTCGAGTATTGTGTCCAGTTTTGGGCACCTCAATACA